TCTTAACGATCCAAGTTCGTTAATTTACTGTTTGCGACATAATCTGGATTATTCCACGAATATAAGAGAGAATCTAACTACGTTTAACAAAATTGTAATACATCTTGCAAATGCAATCGAACAAAAATTCTTTTTCCAATTTCTCACAACTTCTATTTTATTTTTCACGATTATTATCTTATCACGTTATCGAATTTCAAAACTTTATCTTCAACGAATTTTCATTTACAACGTTCTACGAGCCATCTACAAAACTTAGATAATTTCATTTTCAACGAGTTTAACTTTTGCTAGTCGCTTTCGAAAAAAAAATTAAGGGACATAAAAAATCGAATGAACGGTTTTTACCGAACCGAGAAACTTTCTCTAAAAATGATGCGATCGAGTTAAACGCTCCCACGGTACACGATAAACACCGCCTATCTTCGATAATCCCACAGCCACAACCGACAAATTTGCACCTCCGTGTTGCTTCTTTACATTGTTGTACATTGTGGTTCAATAGCTTCTCGATGCTCGATACCGGCCTTCTAGATAACAAATGGCCGTGAACCTCGTCGTCCCAGGTTATATCTTACTTCACGGTGGATGGAAGACAAAGCGTTTGATTATAGTCCCTCCTCCTATTATTTGTTGATCCTTTCAAGAAAGATTTTTCTTTTAAAAGTTAATGCGATAATGATAATAATAATAATAATAATATAAAGATTGTAATTTGAAAAAAAAGTGTGTTGGAAGATTTTTTAAATCCTGTTTTAATTCTGGCAAATAAAATAAAATAAGTATTTATAACGTATCAATGGATGTTATTACGATGATTATGCGCTATATTATCGTATATCGGATATTAATTTTGTAAAAATTAAATTTTAAAAATTGAAAATGGGGATTAATTGTTGGAGGGAATGGCAGCAAGTAAAATATTAGCAAGATCGTGAAAAATTTCATTGTCGAGAAATTGTAGGGCGTAAAAAGTAATGAAAAACCGGGAGGGGAAAGTTCAAAGAAGTTTAAACAAGTTTCATTCGAAATTAACTAGCTTTAGCCACTAATTATAATGGTTCTCTATAACGTGGCGCCCCTCAAACTTTTTGATTCTTTCGAGTCCCTTATATCAAACTTTTCGATATAAAAAAAAAAAAAAAAAAATTGCAAATTATCGCAAGATTCATTCATGCAATATTGAAAATAATGCAGAAGTATAATCGTCTAAAATTGATAATTCTTCCGATACGCGTTTAATAACGATCTGATTAATTGCAACTACTGAAACATTTATATACTTTAAATTCTATCTTGCGAACATTTATTAAAGTTCTCCGCTCAACCAACTCGCAAACACACTTTTCTCAATCATTCCCCTAATCTCAATATATCGTCGAAAGGATAAAAAAGGATCCCCCTTTTGCGGATCATTGGCATAGCCGCAATCCAGACTAATTTACCAGGGAACAGGGACATTCTCATCCGACCCTTATGAATCGTCGATTGTCTCGCTACAGTTCCCATTGTATCCATGCGACGCGTCGTCGCCGTCCACGAGCGTTTCCACACGCACACCGCATCGGTGCGCAACTATGGAAAGGAGTAAGATGCTTTCCCTAGCTAGGAGAAAGAAAGAAAAAAGAAAAAAAAAAAAGGGGGAGAAAGAACTGGTCGCGTAAAAGGTGTCGAGGGATGAGAGTGGTGCCGTTTCGAGAAAGGGTTGTGTACTCCAAAGAATGCGATACATAACTTACGAGAGCACGGTTGCATCTACGGTTGCTTCTACACAGTCACCGACACAGGCTTCTACTCTTTGTGTGCGTGTCGTCACCTTCGCGACGTCAATGAACCACCCCTTTTAAGGCTCGCCCCCTGTATATGCCTCGCCCGCGTTTAGATAACAACCGTGCCACGCTTGTACACGTCCCTTAAGTACGGTTTCGCGTATACAGTAAGTACAGCTCCATCTAACCTTACCCTCGTCGCCCCTCGTTGTCATCAAGTACGTTGAATTTCGACCATAGCCGACCGTACCACTCCTCTCGTGTGTGGAGAAGAGGAGTGTTCCAAGTCGGGTGATAATGCCGCGAAAATGAGACGAGAAAGAGGAAATATTTTTTTCGCCATTTCGAAATATATTTTTCTTTTTCTTTTTTTTTTTTTTTTTTTTCAGAAAGAAATTTTCAAAAATTCAAAGATTCGATTTTGAAAACGAGAACGAAAATTTGATCGATTCCCGAGCGAATGTGAAAGTGAAAAAAATAAATTCGTCGTTGGATATCCGATTATTTTTTTGCTTGTATACATTATTTTTATTTAATCTTGATCTACTTCGAAGCAAAGAAATATCTCCCCCATGTATTTTGTAGATTGTAGATTCAATCCTTGTTTATTTAGATTGTATTCCTTTACTCTAAAACTGCGGAGCGTTTCTTGTTCCGCGGCCATCGATGCACTTCGACGATTCTTTCTCCCGTATATATGTACACCATTTGGCTATGGAAGCCGCGAGCGAATTGAAAAGACTATGGAGAGAACGAGGAGGGGAGAGAAGAAATGCGCTATTCACTTAAGGGGCGCGTATACGACGATCTCGCGTACGTTTCGACGAACGTGCGGTGAGATTTGAATGTCCGTTTCTTGGAAGAATTGTATTTACGCTCAGATATAACGTAGGTGATCTCATCGAGCTTTTTTTTTATGAATATTTTGAGATTACGCTTGTTCTCACGATTCGTTGATCGCGTGTGTGTGTGTTCACAATATGGGAAAAAATTTAACGTTAAATTTTATTAATTCGTGATATTGTGTATATACACGAAAAAGTAAATAAATAATAAAAGTAAATATTTTCGAAATGCATTTGCCCGAATTATTTTGTTAATTTGTTTTAAAAACAATTTTATTCGATAGATTTTCGAAAGAAATGACCTCGTAAAATTATTATTCGTAGATATTTATATAAATATCGTGGTGGTTTCGTGGTGAATTACATTCATAAAATTGCTCGCATTCGCACGGTGGAATAGAATAACGTCCGATTGATTCGTGCATTTTTTTTTTTTTTTTCCTCCCCTTCCTCCGCTGACAAAGCTGATCGACTGCCTTTCCATTCATTCATCCAGGCCAATGATAAACCATCGTAAATCAATCTTCTTTTTATCGTCAGCTTTCGTTCATTTTCCTCTATATATCGATTTACTCGCAGTCGGTGCCCGATTGACCCCATATTCCCTTTTGTTACGTCTATCTGCCGTGCTCTTTGTGCAGCGTGACTATTTCAACATGGGTTGCTGCCATGCTCGCGCGACAGCTAATAACTTGCAGTTGCTGCCCGTTTTTTGCAACTGACAGTTCCAAATTTGTCAAAAAACTTCTTTGTTCCCCGTTACATTTTTATGATTGCCTATTATTCCTTGTAACAAAAGAAAAAAAAAAAAAAAAAAAAAAAAGAAAAAGAAAACTGATAAGTCTGCAATTTGATTAGTTACATAACGTATTTACTATATATTCGATTATATAATTGAATTTATATGGTGAAAAATTGGCTGGAAAATGACAATGACGATGTTTACAAATATTTTTTTATCTTGAAAAATTTCTTTCAAGGTAAATAAATTAATTTGAAATCCAGTTGCGTTGCGTTTTCAACAGGTGGTGAAGAAATAACAATGCAAATTAAAAGTTTATCAAATTATGCAAACAAGTTTGAATATTAGAAACTGTATATACGAAGACTTTTAAATTAGGATGTTAAAAAATTCAACAGAATTTATAATTTCCTTTTTAAATTTTTATCTTAAAAAAAAATTATTATTAAAAAAAAAAAAAAGGTAGAAATTAAATTACTTTAGCCTCTATTGTACAACATCACGCATTATTTAACTACGACGAAGACAAATATCAATGTTCACGATTTCCCAAAAAAACCCCGAAAAAACCTGGCATGAACTCACGAACAACGATTTTCACGGTTGGGCTGTAAATAAAGCCCTATTTCGCGCGTTACCTTAAATCCAAATTAAAAGAGGTCCCCGCGGCTCGTTTCGCGGTCAGGCGCGAAACTTTTTAATCATGCACGACCACGGCAAGTTTGGTCGAAGTCGCGGAAAATTAGTTCGGGCTGATTAAAGCGGAACGCGTTACAGATCGCAATTAAAAGTGACGTGAAAAATGTATAGCCTGCGTTAATTATCGTTCGGTGACGCGTGGCCGTATCAGGAATTTAATAATGCGATTCGCGACAGGTCGATGTTACCTGATATTATACACAGTGACTCGTGGGATTTTGCGCTCAATGGGGAGAAAAATTCGAGAAAAGTTTTATTCTAAAATTCTATTCCATCGTCGTGAAATAAAGATATAGATTTTAATCTTTAATAAGTTTGGTAAACATTTACGAAAAGCTTTGATCTCGATGATTTTTTTTTTTTTTTTTTAATAGTTCCAAGATCATCACATTGGACAGTGTTGCGATGGTTTTATTTGTTGATCCTTGTTCATTAAAAAGTTATTAATCTAATCCAAGTTCGATATACATCGCTTCGAATCGAAATTAAATCATAATTCTGTTTTTAACCGTTAGCCGATTTTTTAATTGGATTTGAGTTGATTCTCTTAATCCGGTCAGTCATCAGATTTCCCTGCTAATAAACTTGATTAAAATTAACCTGATCTAAATCGTTTTAAAAAAAAAAAGTGTTTGTTAATAATTTTTCAATGAACAATGGCCGCCAAAAATAAAAATCTTCACGACACACTGCTCAGAGTGACTTTGGTGTATTAAAAAAAATCAAAATCTAAGAATAGTAGAATAAATAATTGCCACAACTTTTAACCAACTTGAACGTATCGATACGTATTTTTAAAATTGAAGCTTAAAGCTTTTTTTTTTTTTTTTTAATTCTGAAAATTATGATTTTTGTCACACTCTTACATCCATCCGTATCTATCACGTCGTAAAGCACTCAGCCTTGTATGATTTAATAAAGAGCCATCCGTCTTTGGTGTTTCAGTGTCACGCGTACACGGGGATTGTCGGCATTCACGTCGTCGAGGAATCTTCGAGACGGCGATCAGGAGCGACACATTGATGCAACGACGATCGATCCGTGGACCAAGTGACGAGGCACCGACGCGCCGCCAAGGAAATCTCCACAGACGTGAGTAGATTTGTTACAGCAAATTTTGAATAGAAATATGTCAATAGGTATCTCTTTTTTTCGAATTTTGAAAAGGAGAGCACGCGTGAATTTGGATGCGCTCATTTGTTAAATATTGAATATTAAATATTTTGATAAGTGCAACTGTGGCTTTTATAAATTGAATAATAAGATGCAAGAAATATTATTATAGATTCTATTTTTTTCTTTTCGTAATTCTTTTTGTGATCAAAAATAATAGAAATAATTCGTTTAATCGTAATCAACGTAATCATTTCTTTTCCAATTTGACGAAGCATTTCCGCTAATTCCTTTTCTCTCGCAGTAGAATTAACTCTGAAAAATTAATTCAAATACATTTTCAAATACGAAAATCTTCAAAAAATCTATTTAATACGAATTGATACGATTCCTTTAAATTTACTCCCTCCTCGTGTTTAATTCAAATATTTTCATTGTATAGAAATTTCGAAGAGACGTTACTTGCGCTTGAGTAACTTTACAAAACATTCGTCACAGTAATTATACTCGAGCTAGAAATCCTTAAGGATCGATAACTCGATCTTCAAATATTCCCCCTTCGAATTATTTTAATCGATATCGAATTACGCTTAAGAGGGTAGCGAATGAATGGCCGCCGTTTTAACAATAATCCATTCGGTTACGTTTCGTAAATTTAAATTTCAATCTCGAAAAGTTGAATCGAGCGAAGGTTACGATGGTTATCGATTCGCTGAAAGTATCGTTTCCCCGAGCACGTCGGGATAACCTTCATATAATTCTCCACTTTCTTGTAATTCCGCCATTCGTTACACGGCTCCATTTCGCCGGTGTGAACGTCGCGATGGCCACGGAACACGGTTATGAATCCGAATGTGAGCGCAAACGAGAACTGTGCGCAGCGGTGCACCGCAGCTTGCCCAGTAATTTCGTGCCACGTGTGTTGTTCCCCGTATGCGGTGGGTAATGTAATCAACTCTTAACAACCCGTTTCTTTTCCCATTCCCTCGTATCGTACATTTCTGAAAAGAATACTACATACATTTTTCGAACGATATCCCAGACGTTTCTTTATATTGGATAACGGATACATTTAAGGAATAATTTTGCGAGCAAAATGTCACGAGAATAATGACGAATATCTCGATGAGTGAAAGTTTGCCTTTTTATAACGAATGATATAAATCTAAGGAATAATTTGCACTTAAATTTTGCGAGCAAAACGTCACGAGAATAATGACGAATAATTCGATGAGTGAAAGTTATGCCTTTTTATAACGAATGATATAAATCTATTTTAAAAAAGCATTAAATATGCACTAAATTAATTTTTTTTTTTTTAAAAGAATTTCTGAAAAGAATGCTATACACATTTTTCGAACGATATCCCAGACATTTCTTTATATTGGATAACGGATACATTTAAGGAATAATTTGCACTTAAATTTTGCGAGCAAAATGTCACGAGAATAATGACGAATAATTCGATGAGTAAAAGTTATGCCTTTTTATAACGAATGATATAAATCTATTTTAAAAAAGGCACTAAATTAATTTTTTTTTTTTGAAAAAAATTTCTGAAAAGAATGCTACACACATTTTTCGAACGATATCCCAGACATTTCTTTATATTGGATAACAGATACATTTAAGGAATAATTTTGCGAGCAAAATGTCACGAGAATAATGACGAATAATTCGATGAGTGAAAGTTATGCCTTTTTATAACGAATGATATAAATCTATTTTAAAAAAGGCACTAAATTAATTTTTTTTTTTTTTAAAGAATTTCTGAAAAGAATACTACACACATTTTTCGAACGATATCCCAGATATTTCTTTATATTGGATAACGGATATATTTAAGGAATAATTTTGCGAGCAAAATGTCACGAGAATAATAACGAATATCTCATTGATGAGTGAAAGTTATGCCTTTTTATAACAAATGATATAACTCTATTTTAGAAAAGGCACTAAATTAATTTTTTTTTTTTATAAATCTTACGAGTAGAATTATATCTCGTTAAAAGATTTCCATTATCGAAAATTTCGAAGCGCATTCAGCCGTTCAACTTCAAACGAAAACTTCGTTCTCTCAGAAAGAAACGCTAAATCGAGAGAAACTGGGGATCTCCACAAGGAGGAGATATTACGGTCCGAAACCGCTGAATGAGGATATCAGATCTCTCTCGACGAGCTGAAAAGCTTATGGAGTAATCGAGGGCGCGAGACGTATACACTCGCGTGCGGTAATACGCAGAGCGTGATTGCGTGTGGTGCGACACTGGTGACTCGTGGACACGGCCTACGCGCGCGTTTATTCTCCCGTTATGTTGATTACGATCCGGCCGCTTGTGTATCGGTCACATATGACCGATAACGCATCTGCCTCGCATGCCTGAGGGCTCCACGCGCGCGCCAAACCCATTTATTCAATTCCGATCGCGTAAATTTTCGGCCGTGCGAAAGCTCTCGTCGAATATTCTCGTCGATTTTGTTGCGCGCGGGCGCAAAGGATGCGGTTTCCGGCGGGCGTCGGCCGGTATTCAGGTGAAGTAAAGTTGGCCATCATCGGTGGAAATTGAATGCATCGAACGGAAAGGGATCGCGACCGATATAACGCGAAACCGTTGAATGTTATTTATCGATTTGGGCAAACTCGTGGTAATTTCGTTCCCGTAACCATCGTCCATCGAGTCGAGCTATTTTTATAAATCTCCATTTTCTTTTTTTTTTTTTTCTGAATTTTATTTTTCTCTTCCAATAATCCAAGTTTAATCCCATTGAAAATTCTTATTTCGACAAACTTGAAACTCGAAAATATTACTCGATAGATAGATAGACAGGAAAAGAAAGAGAGATTAAAAAAAAGAAAAGAACAGGAGAGATAAAAGCAAAAAAAAAAAAGAAGAAGAGATAGCACCGAGTCATTGATCACGAAATAGAGAATGTATCAAGGATTGAAAAGGGAACATCCGGTGACCCTGTTTCTCGAATCTTTTGATACGTAGAAGCATGGATGAAACGGGTGGGATAAACCTCTCGCGGAAATACGTCAGTGGGTAAATGGGTTTCCCTTGAAAAAACGTACGACCATGTGAAATCGACATTACGGGCCGGCCGATGGAGCCGGTTGTTAATCGCGATTATTCCGGTGTCGGTACACGTATATATCGATCTTCCAACAAGCCGATAGCTCGAGTTAATTGCGATTATTTCGTACCGGTACAGATCATTCACGTCGTGGTTAGTTGATAGCCGCAGCTAATAGAGATTACGTACCGCTACGTGCTGTTATCGATCGCGATTCGTTTCGTTTCGCTGTCGGCAAACCTGCTGACTCCATTTTGACGACGGTAGAATTGGGATAAGTGAGCAGAAGAAGATTGGCCACGTTGCGCCCAATTTTCACCGATAGTTTATCGGTGGAGAGGCGAAGGAAGTGAAATATGGAAGTATTGAATGGAATCTCTTATCTAAAGATAGAACTTTTTTAAAATTATAATTTTGCTTTGTGGAACAATCGAAAAATTATATCGAGCTATTATTTTATATATATATATATATATCTGGAAAAATTATGTACAAGAGTTATAATACGTATCGAGGCATTTAAGGATGCTAATTTTCAGTTTCTCAAAATTTTTTTACAAGGGATATTTTGAGAGATATTATTCGGATAGATACTTGCTATTTTCGTAGTTCGTTGTACGATATATATACATTGGTGAAAATCAATCTAGGAAAGCTCGGGTTCGACAAGAATTATTGGGACACAAAGATACGTATCATTCCGTAAATCAGGTCAAATACGTCATACGATTCCGTTCGAATCCTTTCTCGATTTCTTACTATTCGAATTCGTTGTTAAATCGAATAATAAAAAAAAAAGCCCATAAATCGTGATAATTAGGAAAAAATATATACGTGATAATATTTCCCCTTAACTTAACTCAGTTACTACGTCAATTTCAAGTTCGAAGCAAAAAGTAAAATCAGCGACGACGCCTTCTTTTGAGATTTTGGAAATAAAAGATGAAGCTTTTTTTTTTATTTTAGCCGTCGAAACGCCAAGAAAGCCAATTCCACTTTTCCTGTAAGCGGCACGCACATTAAATTCTTTACGAACCCTGAGCACAACCGGTAATAGTTATCTCCGCCGCGGCTTTCACCCCCTTTTCTTTTGTTCGAAATTATATTTTCCGTGGTTAACGGCCAAACTGGATTTGCTGGTTGGACATCGGCCGATATTTTTCTTCTTACCGTTCCACGGATCAGGGTGAAAGCTACACTAAACTCGAGCCAATTTTACAAGTGCCGCTATAAACTTGTAAAAGCTTAATTCAATTCTACGACTGGAAACGGGGTCGGTGTAAGGATAAAATATTTACAGGCGATGACGCTGTTGTTACAAGTGTAAAAGTTGTACAGGTCGAAAAGTTTGCTTTTTCTTTATATCTGGAGGGGGATATTTATGCGATTGTGAAAAAATTTTTAAAATATTAAGAAAAAAACATCCAATGTGTCAAAATAGCGTACATATATAGACTCAGGAAAAGTATAACTTTTATTGCACAAAAGTTTCGAAACAGCGTGACTCGAGTTCAACAATTATAGCTCTCGAATCGTCCGAAATCAATCGAATCTCGAGATAATTATTTATCAAGATTTCATTCGATCTCTTAGCCGAGTTATTTCGGTTCTAATCGAAATTCTAAATTTTCGAGTAACGAAACCATTTCTCGCATTGCATCTTCGCGTAGATTTTTCTGGTTGCAAAAATTAATTAAATGATTAGACGATATTCACGATATTTATTTATTTATTGCGAAATATACATATTTAAAAGAAAATTGAAATTTATTGCACGAAATTTTATCAACGAATCTATCGTTATCTTTTATTTCCTTGTAAATTCCACGTGAAATTCCACGCATTTGTCTCTCGATTCACATAGTCGCGAAGTAGCGTGTTTTTGTCATGGTCGTTGAGACCAC